TAATATGTGTCTTAATGACATGAAACGTTAAAGACTTAATTTAGATGATCTATAATCTCCATGTCAGAGAAATAACTGAAGAAAAATCAGAATATATAATAAAATACACAACATAAAACATAAAAATTTCTATCCTGAAATCTGATAGATCAATAAAGTGTGAGCTTGTCAAACCACAATTTACAATCTTAAAGTAATCAAGATAATGACTTATAGATCATAGGTAACTTGGTACCACCGGCGGAACGAGCATTAACTCGTATGCATTACGAAATCTTAACTGTTACAAGGAAAACTTATGTATTGAGTTGTCCGGAAAGTTCGTGCTGCAAAAGATTTAAATTTAATAAATGAAATTAAAAATTTAAATCTTCTGCGTTTCAATTTTCCTTCAAAATCGGCACGAACTTTCCGGATAATCTAATACATATAAGCTATAAACGAGTACTATACACACACACACACAACATTTCGAGGTATTATTATATCAAAGTAAATTTTCGTACATTTTATATACAGATTATACCAGGATGTTACTTGATATTACCTAATTAATTTTATTTTTTGTTATTTATATCAATTTAGAGGGAAATATATCTAAGAATAAAAATATGTAGTTAACTATGTAATTAAAACCAGCTAACAATTATTGATGTATAAATCGCTTATACATACATACGTTTACGTGCTCATGATCTCTGTGTCATAATAATATATTTCTATGGTTTTTTTTGGTAAAACACTTGTTCATTAATACGCGTGTAATCACATAATATGAAAATAACTATATATATTAAACTATATATTAAGGTGCTGACAATGTGAAGTTGTAAAATCGAAAAGAAATAGATTGTCTCTTAATCGACTTCTAACTTTCGGAACGAACCGCATATTCCGCTTAATTCTTCGTTAGCCTCTTGATAATATTTCGGTGATATTTCAATATACATATCGTCGAGAGCCTTGAGTTCATCTTTTTTCTGTTTTAGTTCCTTCTTAAATTCGTCTAAAAAATAGATAGCATGTTAAGAAATAATACAATTTGAGTCTGTTGAAACTTGAAAGAATTGCGAGGAGAATCTTCGTACCAATCATTTCCGAAAGCGAGATTTCCCCGCCATATTCCTTCGGTAGTATCTTTGGATCCACTGCTTCTTTTAGCTCTTGTATGTTTCTATGTATCTGCAAAAATTGCAAATATGATTTCTCGGATGTGTAAATTTAAACCAGCCATACTTGTCATAACAAAATTTACCATTTCGCGATATTTACCATAACGCGAGACTTAAGCTTGTCGTTTAATATAGACATGCTGAATTCGAGGAGCTTCGCTACGCTGCTAGGTAGATTGATTATATGCGTCTCCTTATGACGCATCGGTGTACTGTTCTGTACGCACCTCAATATATTACGAATGTCCATGAAAGACAATGTGCCGAAATGGTTCATGGACAATCTCGCTACGTCGTTGAGATATGTGTAGCCATAGACTTGACTTTTCTCATCGTCCATCAAGATCTCGACCACCATACTATGAACCCGGAGCAAGTGTGCAGATGAGAATTTATTAGGGTCGAAACGCCCTTTAAAAAACAAAGAAAATAAAGTAGTATGAATATTTAATATATACTCGGAGACTAATTGAAATTAACTATGAAGCAAAAATATCAGGCTTAATAATAATAATAATAATAATAATAATAGTAATAATAATAATAATAATAATAATATCAAGCACGAATAATTTTATTACAAAAATTGGGTAACTTTCAATACAATGAATTAAATGCCAGTAATTGGGGATGTGTTCCACTTAACGTTCTCAACACTCGCAACATGCGTCATTTCAATTTTGTTTAATATTTGGCGACAAGAATGAAATAATGTTCGCGAGAGAGAGTTGCGAACTTTAAGTTTGCGAACGTACCTTTGAAACATGAAAATAAATGACTAGTTTATATAAGTGTGGAATAACTAGCTTAAAACAATACAAAATATAAATAATTAAAGCATACAGTCACAACACTCGATGTATTTACTTATTTAGCGAAAGTCGTATATTTAAAAAATTATTTCATATGATAAGTAGACGTTTCGGTCAAGTCTTGACCATCATCAGTACAATAAAAAATATAAATGGTGTTAGATATTAAACAGAATGTTAAAAATTATTCGCTAGTTCAAAATTGAAAGATATAAATTTACATTCGGAAATTCCGTATTTTTCATACGAAGCCTTACAAATGTTCGAATAACAAGGAATTTATTATATCGTGTAAAGTCTCCTTCTATAAGTATGAATATGAATTTGTCTAACACCATTTACATTTTTTATTGTACTGATGATGGTCAAGACTTGACTGAAACGTCTACTTCTACTATCATATGAAATAATGTTTTAAATATACGATTTTTGCTAAATACATCATGCATTGTAGTTATATCCTCCTTATTTATTTAATAAATTTAGATTGGGTCGTTCTATTTTTTTGACACTTCAGCTCACTCTCTAACTCTCACTCTCTTACTTTCTTATACTCTTTTACTCTTTAATCCTTTAAATAAATTATCACATAACAGTTTGTTCGAAGATGGAACAACCTTATTATAATATGTCATGATTTAGCTGCGTCTTAAATTAGTCTTTTGTATTCATGGGATTGGTACCTGCACATGACATTATCACTTTTCGGCCGTGTTGATCTCGCTTTAACATTGGTACTAAATAGCCGTTATCGATGATGGCCATAAGTTCCGGATCATCAACGTCGAGATTTTGGAACCAATTGGAATAAAGTTGCCTAATAGTGAGATACTGTTCCAGCATCTCCTGCGCCATCGGCAAACTGAATTTCTTCGTCCTAAGAAATCTTAATAGGAACAACGAATCAGTCCTACATTTTTTAATCGTAGGATGTTTCTCGATCCAATGCCGAAATTGCTTCAGCGCTTGGTTTCTCGTGTTGTCATCCTCACGGAGTTCCAATCTAGCCGTTTCCAGCGTGTCCGCATCCAACGTACTCTTATATTCATCATATTTCTTTTGCTGCCCTTCCGATACCATTGTCTGAACAGTAATGCAAGTCTAATTAATGTTTTATCTCAATGGATTTTACGTTATCTTAATGGAATAACAGTGGCTGCATCAGCATTTAATCAGCAGGAAAAAGCAGCTTTACAATTGTTGTAAAATCCCTTAATGTGATTTTATTTAAATTCAGTAAAATACAAAATTAATCATATTACGAATGTAATCTCCTTTATCTCTGAAAATAGCATATTAATTGAAGAAAATACATAAATCGATTATGTTAGTTAATTTAAATATTTAAAGAAATAAATTATTTTAAATAAAAAAACGATAATATTTGAAAAATTATTTTTAAAAATTACTAAATGAATTTGTTTTTTTTTTTAATTTTAGAAAAAATCTTATCTAAGCTGGATCTTAACGTTTTAAATAATATTTCAGCATGAATTTACATGTACACATTCAGTTTTACAATTGCACTCCAAAGTCACTTTCGGTTTTTAGACGCAATCTTAAATCGAATTGAGATAATTATATCACAAATTAAATTCTTAGGTCATTTTTAAAATCAATTTTTTTAGTTAACATCAATTTTTTTGTTTTATAAAAATAAAATAAAAATACAAATTTAAAAAATGCTTAAGAGACTGAGTGAATTAAAAATATTCGTGTAAATTTTCATTCAAAAATATTAAAATATAACTGAAATATCATCCAAACCTTGATAAAATAATACATCTTGAGAAAAATGTACGTTTATAAAATTATGATAAATATTCTTTAGGTTTATAAAAACATTCATTTTAATCTTTTTACCTTAAAGTGATACTTGTACTATAAGTATACCTTGACCCTTTTTAAGACTGTAATTATATTAATAAGATTATTATTAAAAAGAATTATATTAATAAGAAGTTTAGAACTATAATAGAGAGAGATTATATAGATATTTAAAAAACAATTTCTTAAAAATCGATTTTTTACTCCAGAAAATAATTTGGCCTGTTAATAAAAGAGAATCTAGCTAACATTAAACTGTTTGATTGAATATCCATTTAATGGAAAAAGAGCATCTCACACACACGCGCACACACACACACACACACACACACACACACACACATTATCATAATTTAAAGTTGTTTAATTATTATTTATAAAATTAGAACATCGATTTTTATAAATGTTAGACTTTTTTTTATTTAATTAAACATAGTTGACATAGTTGACAAATATAAAAGCAGAAGAGAAATGAGAAAATCAAATAGCGAATCATGGACAAATTATTCCGGTTCGCTAGCAGTTAATATGGCATGGAACGTAAAGAGAAAGTCTCGGAAAGCATCGGTAAAGCATAGAGATATTACAATGTATAAATAGAGAATTACTTTAGTCAAGACACTATAGACATTACTAACTGCTAATTAGCATTAGCATTATTTAAAATATTTAAATAATATTTTCTTTTCATTTCAATATATCTTTATAAAATCAAGTTTTTCGTCTTACACAATAATCATTTTATCGTACTGATGCTTTTTATTCATGTATTAATGAATTAAATTAATTAAACAAATTAATTAAATTAATTAAATTAATTAAACCTTACAAACAACAGATTTAATTTGTGATTATCAATGAATATTTTACCATATATAATTTTAATGTAGAAAAAGATGAATAAAGAAAGATCTATTATAACTTCTTCATTAATTTTTATATTATATGAACCAGTAAGGAGGATAATTTAATTATTTCTCATAATAAGCTTAATGTCTGATTTAATATTTTAGTAATATCTTTAAGTTACATTCTAATCAAAACATTTAGAATCAAGTGTATAATTTTAATATTACACAATTTTAAAATTAATTGTATTGAGCAAACATTTTTGTTTTTATGTATTTAAATTGTGTATATCAATGCGATTGTATAAGAAATTTAATTAACCGGAATTTAATTTAATTCGCAGAGAGGTTCAAAGAGGCCTTTATCAACTTTAATCAACATATAAGAATGTTGACAAAAATTCTCTTTCATAAAAATATCGATTCTTCTTAGCTATTTTCAAGAGCCTTGAATCCGAAAGCTATTATCCAATGACAATTACTTGAAATTCTCCGCGAGTGTGATGCTTAAACGATTCGTGAAACGAAAGTGAGACGCTGGGAGGAAGTAGTAAACGAAGGGGCTTCGCTGCTGCAATGGGAACACGCGTTTCGCGGTGTGCTATATTCATCATGCGCTCAGATCCGACTTTCTATCCTATCACGATACTCAAAGTGCAATACCGTATAAACGCGATATCGTTTCTATTCAAGACCACGTCACGAGAGAACGCGTTGTAAGCGTTCGGTAGTATTAACGAGTATTTTTGTAATCCGCATGACACATCTTAAATTACACAATTATGTTGAATTTTAAATTCTCATGTTCGATTACGAATTTAATTATGCACTAGTTAATATGAAAAATTTTCAGTTTTCTATTATATCGTCATTCGTCATTTAACACAGCTATTATCATTTACTGTAACGAAATGCGTTACCACAGAAGAAAGGTCCTATACAGCATCGAAAGTTTTCAGAAATATCTCAGAAATATTTCAACTGAAAAGTGAAACATTTCATAAAAATTGCGAAATATGTCTGCAACATTTCTGAAATCTCTCTGAAATAGCAAAATCGCAATTCTTGTACATGAAACCTTGTTGAAAGGTTGATGAAATGTCATGCAAAGAATCTCCAAATCTTTTTGAAATATTATCAAAGAGGTTTCAGCTATTTCTAGTATTACAAAAATGATATTTGAATATATACTTGATACTTAAATATTTATTTGATTGATTGATACTTAAATAATATTTAAATTTATATTTATATTTATGACATAATATCATTATATGAACGAATTTTGTAC